ATTTTTACCCTCTCTTCCTGCAAGGCAGATCAAGTGTCTCTGGACTTGTCATAAATAAGCTGATCTTGGTTTATGGAGGGAAGCTGAGGTCCTGTCTCTGGAAGCACAGCAGAGGCGCCGCAGTGAGACAATTAAATATTAGCCACCAATATTGTGGAGGTCGTTTTTCACAAGTAACCAACCAGTCTAGACATCAGGCAATAAAATCCAAAGGTCTGTTGAATCCACCCTTTCTGTTCATGTACTGCCTGCAATGGGTGGGTGGGGGGGGTGGAGAAGGGAACAGAGAAATATCAACATTATTAGAAATGAATTATCTGTCCCTACCATGAATGTTAAAAATCAATTTGCAAGGCAGTTATAAAGATGCTGGGAGACATCTCTCAGGCTGGCTGTAGTTGAACACTGCTACATACCCTAGCCAGCTTGTTAGTGATGTGTATGAAATAACCTGGGTAGTTTTAATTGACAAAATCTCCTGCAAAAGGTGCTAGTAAGCGCTAATCTTAGCTACAGAGGCTGATCTGAGCTCACTGCAACGACTGATCACTGATGAGGCATACACAAGATATGTTTGCTGTAGTGGCAACCCCTCCAATGTAGATATGCAGCCCAAACATGCCTCTGCTGACATAGTTTATAGCTCATTGTGTTTGCCCAAAAGGTATCTGGGCAACATCCCTTTTCTATTGGTTCAACTGCATCTACACTAGGGTTTTTGCTGGTATAGGAGTGTCAAAAAGGCCACACATCCCCTTAACTGACATTAGACTAGCAAACATTTCTAGCCAACACCTGGTTGAAACACACTGGGCCAGAAGCTTGAAGACCACTAGCAAGGCTGCATCTATTCAAGGACTACAGTCCCTGAGCTATCAATTCAGTATGCTCTATGGGTGTTGAAGTTTAAAGACATGCTGGGGGCGGGGAACAAAGGAAGGGGAAAAACCCCCCTAACAAGTGATGCAGTCACTTCCAGTGACAAGCAGCAGAATACAGGTGGGGAAGAGCTGGCACACTGTCTTGGGTGCCATTGCTGCTCAGGTGGGCAGGACAAGAATTTTAGTTGCATCTAAACAGAATGTCTGTGCACCCTAACTCTTTGTTTCTTACTGCTTTTTGCCAGCAGCACAGTATTTAAGAGGGACGCCATAAGTATGAAACTGGTATCTATCCTGGCTCTAAAGCACATCCTTAGAAGCAAGACCATCAAGCAACTCTAATATCAATGACAGCCGCTCAGGAAATAGACCCAGAGAGCTATTCTTCCAGCCACGAGTAAACGCCTTCTCTAAGTTCATCTCCTTCCCACGAGAATCTAGTTCTCTCTCAATAGATGAGCATAACTAATATTCCTGTGTCCTAATCTGGTCTACTGGGTCTGAGTGGCAAAGCCACACACCTGTACTTTCTCTTCTGCGACACGTTGATGGCATAGGCATTTGCAGAACCATCCACTTTCTTTCCCTGAAAGACATAACAGGAAAAAAATAAGGTCCAAACCTCAGAATGCTGTACAGAGAACTGGTAAGAAGCTGAATAGCACTGACAGAGGTGGTAAAATGAAACCAAGACAGCTAACCCAACAGAACCCTATCATTAGGAAAGCCAAGGAATTTACCAAACCCAAGGCAGGTTAGTTTTCAGAAAGCAGATTAATAGAACTAACAAAGCAAACCATTTTTAGAGACAATTGGCTGCAGGACTAATTGCTTTCTTAGCATTATACACCAAAGTATCTGTCCAAAGCTGATCCATAGCAAAAGGCATCATCCTCTGAGAGACCTTCCCAACACACTGGTGACAAGGCTCAACCTCACTTGTCCTGAGAGATAAAATGGGATTACAACACAAGCAGGTGAAGCTGCTAGCCACGACCTGTATGCAGATGTTCAATACTAATTACGTATACAATCAGTACTGGCTCTATTGATGTTGTTCCGTGGACAACGCTTCTGATGCAAGGTTTCAAAACATGCGGATGCATTATTTCTTAACTGTCCAGAGACAGACATGCAATAGAGACTGATTATGCCCTAGAATGAAGAGCAAATGTATTCAAGAAAATGGCAGCAACTTCAACTTCCAAGTGCTATGGAACACACCACTCACTTTTGTTGTGTCAAAAGTTGCAAATCCCATTAACTTCATCATCTCAATTTCTTCCTCTGTCTTCCCTTCCAGATCTTCTTCTAAAAGGACAGTAAAAGGCAACATGGAATTTGTAATACAACAATAAGAAAGTTTCCTGGCCCCAGGGTTGGGGTGCACAGATAGATAGGACAGAAGCATGTGAGAAAGATTTCAGCAGCACCTGATTTTAGTAATCTTGACTCAAGCAATTTCCATGGCAACCACTGCACTTCTTAACTGAATTAATGAAGCCCAACAAGCTCTCTAAACACTGAGGTAAGATACACAACGGCTCAAGAGGTCAGGATAACATTTTCGCACCAGTAATTTGTCGCTCCTTGGTTTTAGTGTCTTTGACTTCCTTCTTTTCTTCCTCTCGCCTTTCCTTCGGCCGGCTTGGGGAAGAGGAGCTGGACCGGTGCCGTCTTGGAGATCTAGAATTCCACACAAGGACAGGTTTCAGTGGAACAGCAACAGAGGGAAACACTGCAGTGGTCAATATTGCAATGAGTGCTAAAAATCGAATCCAGAGACCTCTGTTGTAATCCTATCTGCCACACCAAGTAAAACCCGACACTGTTACACAGTGTTACAAGTGTCCTCTGGTTTCCTTGCACACTGCAATTCTGTCTGAATGTACATGCTGACTTTGCAAGAGCTCTGCAGCCAGGACCATCTTTCTGTCTCTCATGTATAGTGAAAAGCAACGCAGAGCCCGACACCATGACTGAGGCACTTAGGCACTGCTGCAATAACAAATACAAAGGGGCATAACTTTTCCCAGTTAACCCTTGTTAAGTAAGTGAAGACACCAGATGACCGCTATAAAGGCTTCCTTAGTTTCCCCATCTACTGCTCAGATCGAAAGGCAAAACGGTCTCTCAGCTGGGTAGCTGGCAACTCACTACCCTGCCAATTTCATAGCAACAGCGATATCGAATAGAGGAGAAAGGAGCTGCCAGCCAGACACCTTCTTCATTACCCTTGGAGGACAACAGCGCTTTGCCCTCACCTGGATCGTCTCCTGTGCGGCGAACGGGAACGACTCCTCCTCCTGTCCCTATCCCGGGACCGCGAGCGCTCCCTTCGCCTCCTTTCCCTCTCCCGGGAAGTGGAACGAGAACGCCTACGGTCTGAGGCAAGCCAGGATTGGGAGAAAGAGAAAAAGAGAGGGTTGGCAAATCCTGGTCATCTTGAACTCACTGCTTTATTACAGCTGTAGGAAACCTCTTGGCTTGGAACAGAAGACCAGGTTTATTTAGTATTTAAAATGCTGGGGATCTCTCCCCACATACAGGACTTGCTCAGGGGTAGGAAAGGCTGATCCTACGGCGCAAACAAGACTAGAGGGAAGATGCACAACACTCTGGGCAAACAGGGCCCAGCCCAACCCAGCATCACCAGTTCCTGCAGAAGCTCCTGCTGAGATTTTGGCTGCACGACTCCCCACATCTTTCTGTTTACACCCTCCCCATCTGCAGCCCCACCAAGTCCCAGGACCTCCTCGTCAACCTCCTCCTGGCCCGAGCCAAACTGGGCTGGAAGGAGACTCTGGCCAGGGGGAATCACTGGGGGCTGTGGGAATGTTTTCCTGTGTCTCACCCATTCACGTGTCCAGGCCAAGTATCTCCAGGCTCCTTAGACTCGTTTGAGGGCCAATGGGTGCTGTCAGGTATGGCCTGCTCAGTGCTCCCCCTTGATGCACTCATTATGAAATCTACAATCTTGACTCCTTTCCCTGTTTTCATGTGTCCCAAGGAATCAATTGCTATATCCTCAGTGGTCTCTTTCTTAAGGAAAGCTTAAGAGTTTTATTTGGCGGGCCTAGGCCCATGCTTCGCCAACAGCGTAACCAACAGGTCTGACTGGAAAGGAGGCTCTAGCCAGGGGGACGCCTGGGGACTGCAGGGCTGCTTTCCCGTCCTTCATCCATTCACGCCTCTGGGCAGAGATTCACTGTGCAGCACCTACCGGCTCCCTGGACTCGTTCAAGAGACAACAGGCGCTGCCTGGCGCGCTCTGCTCGGTGTCCCTGCACATCGGGAACCTCTGCCCCTCGCGCCCGTGCCTGGTTCCTCCCCCCAGCACCGCTCACGTGCACTCACGGCCCCCCAGATCAAGGTAGGCTTGCAGCTCTGCTTGGCAGGCGCTCCCCATGCACGCCCCACAGCCCCGGCCCAGTGCTGCCTCCGTCCCAAGGCCACGGCTGCTGCTCGGGACAGCAGGGACCCACCGTCCTCCCTGCCGAGACCCGAGGGGCGGCTCCCCCACCCCTACCCAGGCTCATGCCTAGGTGCGGCTTCTTGGCGACCACCCCCACCCCCCCTGCTGCGGGGGAGGGGCCTGTCCCCATGCAAGGGAGGGGGAGGGGCTGCCACTACCCCCTTCCCTGTCCCCGGGCAGGGATCCAGCCCCCTCCCCAAGGCGTGCACGGCACAGACCTGCCCCACCTCCACCCTCTGCCCTCCGCGGGGAGGCGCTCACCCCTGCGCGGCGGCGAGCGGGACCGGCTGCGGCCCATCCCTGCAGCCCGAGCGCACTTCCCGGATCGCGGGCCCACGCCGGAGCCCCGCGGGCAGGTACTTCCGGAGCCAGGTCCGTCACTTCCGCTCCGGTGGGGAAGGCGATTCCCTCACCCGCCCTTGCGCACTTCGGTTCCGGGGAGGCGGGGCTCGGCTCCCCGCCGCGGGGTTGGGCCCTGCATTCACCCCTCCGCCCACTGCAACTGGCAGGCTGTGTCCTTTCCCTCTGGGCAATCCTCCCCTCACCCCGGCTTCTCCCTGCTTGTGTCTACACGAGACACCCTGCAGGGCAGGATGGCTTTAGCACTATGGATTCCCCTGTGAAAGCTCTGGGGTTATCCTGTGAGTGGGGTTTGCACACCTAACAGTGCTAACACCCTTGAAAGGATCTGAGAATCTCTTGAGAAACCCTTTAGAATCGGTGCCTTAAGACTTGTGGTTGGGTTTGCTCTGGATATACACCTGGGATCTCAGGAGGTTTCTCCTAAGGGACAGAAACTGTATTGGCATCCTTGGATCAAGCTTTTCTTTTTCTCCCTGCTCTTTGTAGCGTGTCCTGCACCCCCGTCACCCTCCAGTCCTCAGGCAGCTGGGCTATAAGAAATACGCTGCATTTCCGGACACTTTAGTGTAATATTGTTGTAAATTAGAAGCACTTATATAGCCACATGAGCTGAATCTGGGCCTTTCCCTTGCATGTCTGGGCTTCTGCTTTCACCATCTCCTCGGGCTTCTTGATTTTTGATTGGGATCCAGCCTCCTGCCCTTTCTCTGGAGCGCTTGCAGCCTTTCCAGCACCTGACACGTCCGGTATGCTGCTTTCTAAGCAAAACCAAGCCCTTCAGCCTGCCTCCCAGCCATGCACGGAGCATCTGCAGCCCTCTACATGGGCATGATGTTGGGAGCTTTACTTTGTGCAAGATCCTGGGTGCCCCTGGGCAAGGAAGAGCCAGGGCCTCGGATCCTCGAGCCAGGATGGAGCTGAGCCAGCTGCTCGGAGCAACCACCACGTTTGCAAATCTAAGTGGAGCCTCCAGCCCTTGGCAAGCCTGCACGGGACCACAGAGCCCCGAGGAGCTGGGAAGCCCCAGCCCATGTCAGATCCCCTGCGGGGCTGCTTCGGCATCACTCTGAATCGGTGCAGGAGCGGGAAGCTGAGGGGTCCCAGGGAGACTTGGAGCAGGCAGGAGCTGTTCGGTTGCTCCTCCATGCAATGAGTTGGGCAAGTCTCGGCCTCAGCAGAGGGGCAGAGAGGGAGCCACTAAGCAGGCAGCACCTCCTCACCCCCCTATCCCAGCCTCCCTGGAAAGAAAACGCAGTGCCAAGCGGGCCGGAGTGTTACCGTGAAAGTTTATTCTGTTTGCTGCTGTTCTCAAAAGGGGGATAGCAAGGGGACAACAAGCCTCTGGTCCTGACCCTGGGGGAAGCTCACTTGTCCCCCAGAGAGAGCTTGGCCCCAGGGTTGCTTCGATACAGGAATATCCACTCAGCCACGAAGAGCGTAATACAGTCGTCTGGATGCAGGGACATGCAATCCTAGCAGGACTCCCACCCCGCGGGGCCAAAAGTCTCCCAGGTCCCGCTGCGAGGGTCTGCGTGAAGCCAGTGGGATGGGCACCCAAAGGTTACAAGCCAAAACCGATACAGAGTAAAAAGAAAAGAAAAGATAACTGGAAAACGGCAATGGAAACCCAAAATCTGGATGTCCCCACACGTGGAGAAAAGAGTAGACCCACAGCAAAAAAATAGAGGCTTTCAAGTAGTAATGCACAGATACAAGTTACCAGAGCCTAGGTAGCAAGAAAGTTATTTACACCAGAACCCAACGGTAAACTTCACAATATTAGCAAAAGGCCAAACACGGGGGCATATTTACAGACGGAGACATGATAGAGCACTTTCAAGCAACGATTGTCAGACACAGACATTTCACTTTAACAGCCCAACTGCTATATAGAACATTGTACCATACTTAGTTTGGTTATCGTCTGTACACTGGGCAGGCTCCCCTGGGCTCCTCCACATGAGAGTGAATTGTTGCCCTCAGCCCATCTGCTGTGACAGGCAAAGCATAAAGAGCTGCATTTTCAAACCAGAAGGATGGAGGCAGGCTCACCCATCAATCAGAAAGGGAAATCTGATGCCATTTGGGATATCCACTGCTGTAAGCTGTCACCTGTTTCCATTGCGGTAGCCACCCTGCTGCTGCCATTTTTCTCATTCCACCATTCCCCCTGCAATGATTTCTTTGCAGAGTTGCTCTTACCTAGGACTTGCATGGTTGTGTGTGCGGGAGCACTGATTTCCTGTGACATCTGTTTCCAGAGCACAGCTGGTGTCTAGATCAGTAATTCCCAAGCTAAGGATCACAACCCCAATTGGGGTCATGGCACATACAAGTGGGGTCACAAACCCCATAGAAGTGAAATTGGGAAGATAAGAGGTTGCACGCTGACTGGGAGTGGTGTCATAAACCTAGGAGCGGGGTCACAGGCCCCGAAAGTTTAGAAAATGCTTGGATTATATCTCCGAATCAAGCTGATCACAAGATGTGCCAATGCATGTACCATCTTGCAACTACAATCCCAGGTGACACACATTTATTTTCCTGTCCTAGTTGGCATTTAACATGTGTAAGGCCAATGCCATGATACTTTATAGAGACAAAGGTAAATAGAGTGGCCTTCTGGACCAAAACCTATTGGGAGTGACATGTCTCAAGGCATCAGCAAACTTAGCTGCCTACCACAGATGGGACCAAGCCTCTTGTGAGTGAATGCATATCTATGCAAATACAGTGGTCTTCACCCTGCCCTCTGCTGAGATCCAGTTCCTGCTGTGAATCACTGACTTTAGTGGGTGCTGGATTCACACCTTCCTTTGGTTTGAATAACTCCATAAGCTTCAACAGCATCACACAACACTGGTAAGGGGAGAATCTGGTAAGACAGTGATGGACATGTTTTGCGCCTGCTTATTCCAGTGCTGAATTGGGCCCAGGGTTTTTATTAAAAAATAATAATAAATCTAGCAAACAAATTTGAACAGGAAGCTTTGGGACTACTTTAAAATACTGGCTTAAGACGAGACAAAGGAGGGGCCTATTTGGGATGGTTCATGGTGCAGGCCTCTGGCTGTGAATGTGAGAGTGAGAACAAAATCCTTGGGAGTCCAAGGAGCAGAGTATACTAAACTATGTGGGGTGAAAAGTCCTCTGCAACTGTTACAGCACATTTCTGGGTGGCTGCTCAAATCACCGAATAACCGTGGGTGTGACCTTGCAAATAAGAACTTCAGACTAAGGGAGAACTTAAGCTCTCCCCACCGCAAAACAGCAGCCCTCCATGCCCTGCCAGGTAGCATCCTGAGCCTGGTTGCCTGTCAGTGTAAGGCCCCTGATAGCCCTAGATATTGCAACTGCATACCCAGGCCATGTGCCATGGGGATGCAGCCACCACCAGGCTGCTCCTTCCTTGCTTATGCAGGTAGGCAGGGAGTGAGTGAAGCAGGCAGCATAGCTGAATCAGTGTGCAGAGAGAAACAAGCTGCCTGAACAGTAGGACAGATGTCTTCTTTCCCCATTCCACAGAGGAAGCAGGGATTCAGGTGGACTCAGATAGGTCTGGGGGCACAGCAGCACCATGCTGCTCCTGACTCAGGAACCACCTTCTCTAAGACTCAGAAGAGGTTGTGATGACAAAATGAGACCCAAAGCAATGCTGCCATTGCTTCACACTGAGATCTGCACTCCCGCCTTCCAGGGAACAAATAACCATAGATCAGTTCTGTAATTGCAGTGATAATTAGGGGTATATTTCAAGATAATTACATGGTTATTTATGCCTGGCAGATTACATGGTGCAAGTGTTATTGCGAGCAGATGTAAACTTATAAATGAAAAACCAGTAAGCGAATAGCATGTAATTGCAGGCGGTCATTGTTCCCTATTAACTTGAGTGCATCTTTTCAGAACAGTGAAACTAAAAGGCAGCAAAAGCTCTGGCCCTTCCTCACTGACGTGGGTCTTTTTATGTCCTAAGGGAAGTGGTGCGTTAGGCTTCTTCATGTTTGTGCCTGGAAATGAAACCTTCTCTGTGCCTCATCATAAGGCTCATTCTGAACAGTTTTGAGCACCCACAGCTCCCATTGTCATCAACACCTATTCTGCTCTTCAATGCTGATGCCACAGCAAGTTCCAAAAGCCTTGAAAGTCAATGGAAAGATAGCAGAATCACAGTTTCCATAGGTGTAGTGGGTGTTCAGAGGCTAACATGAATGTACAATGAGCCATTGGTTAGGAAGACACATGTCTGTTCAATACTTAATATTTAGCAACACAATTTCAGTTCCAGCTTAAGGTCAAGTCCAAGGGCGATTATCTGAGTTTGTCTTGAGGTATAAAAGAAGGGTTCAGATCCAGGCTTCACTGGCACTCTACAATGTTCAGATCTGGGAATTTGGGTAAGGCCCCTTTCATGCTATTTTAGCAGAAGCTTGTAAAACATTTGTGGGGCACAGGAAAACTCCCTGTGGCTTTCAAAGCAGCCTACGTGCAACTCAGGTTTAGTCATTCAGGCCTTTCTGCTTTTCCATGCAAACTCATCCATAACCAGTGCTGAACATACAATCATGATGTTTCATAGGAACGTAACCGTAACAGATCAATGATCCATGAGGATGAGGAGTCCAACTCCAAGAGGGGACAATGTCAGATATTTGAGAGGAAGGAATAAATACCCTTTCATTGTACCTATTTCAGTTTTTTCCCCTGGGAGCTCCAAGAAGAGTTTCTCCCTGATCTCAGTTGGTGACCAGCTTTATAATGCTCATATAACTTAACAATAATATCTATAACCAAGGTTGCTTTGAAAGGTAGACTACTGTACCCCAGTTTTGCCTTCCTGTATAGGCCAAATTCCCATTCATTTCAATGGTAGTTCAATGTACAAGGGCTGAAAATCAGACCTTTAATTGGCATTGACATTAAAGCCAATATCCAGCATGACATTTCAGTGTAGAACCAAAACGCACAAGTGAAAGGAGTGGTGGCATATATTGATTTTGTGTTATTTTATAGCTAAGGTAAAAGCATATCTAGCACATTTGAACCTGCAAGCTGGATTTTGGCTTTGGCTGTTTTATATCATAAGAACCTTGTTATTGAACACAGTGTCCTACAGTTTAGTAAACTGAAGTAGTTGCCTTGTGGGGGGGTGAGTCAAAGATGCCTTCTCCATCCTCTGTGCTGAATTCAGGAAGTTGAAGGGTGCTTGGATGTGGGAAGTGGGGCGTCACTCATCTCTAGTTAGGGGCAGATCTTTTGTTCTGTGTTGGTACAGCACCTAGCGCATCGGGCATTACCATTCTCGCATGCATCCTTTGCGCACCAGGTTGGAATGGCACAGGCCAAACCAGCGAATGTAATGAAAAGCACTAACAGGTCTCCATGTCACAGCCCCATCCAAGTGTGACAAGGTTGTTATTAATTAGCACTGCAGCGAGGAAGAGCAAAGTCACATTTTCTACAGGCTTTGCCTTTTGTGGTGCTTTTCGGTTCTGCAGCAGCTATCACAGGAGGGGGATTGGCAGCGTGAGTTTATGCCAAACTGACAAAGTAGCACTTAGTGACTGTAGTTTTCTTGGTTTTAAACAGAACAGATGGTTTCTCAAGGCTTTCTCCCTCTCCGTTTCCACCGTGGTCTTTATGGCAGGACACAAGAGCTTGCTTGATGTTGTTGGGCAGGGACCTGCATATTCCCCAGAACACAATACTCCTTTCCAAGTGGCCTAATTTCCTATTTCATTCCATGCTGCAGCAAACAAAGCCTAAGATATCTTGTCACCACTCCACGCAGAAAAAAACTTTGAAAATGGCTTGTCGGCTTCATTGGAAGATTGCTGCCCAGGAAGCAAAAGTCATGGGCTCATCCCCTGCCCTTTGCTTCTTTGGAGATCAATCCTGCCCACTTTTGATTTGGATAAAATTGTACTGTCACCCTTTGAGTTACACAACCAATTGCAGCCACGTGACTAGCTGGGACTGCTTGGAAGGCTTGGAAAAAAACTGGTCAATCAATCCAGTGCATCCTGGCTGTGCCATCACGTGTCATGAGGTGTGTTCTCAACTCTGCACACAAAACTGTTTCTAAAGGTGGCCACCTGTGCTGTGAATAAAGCAGCGTGTGGGAAGACCTTAGCCCACACAAGCTGAAATGACTTGGATTATAAGTGCTGTGACAAGGTGGAACTGGGGGGAAGGGAAAAAGAGAGTAGATTTATCACTTGTGAAATAATTTGTGACTAGCTCATCAAGCAGAAAAATCAGGTCCACAGTCATTTTTAAGCTTGGTTACTTCCTCAAAAAGCGGTCAACAGCAGGTTAACGGGGAACGGTACATCTTGCGCCATGAGCACCCAGAAAATTCGCCACATATCCTCCAAAGCGTAGGTTTTGTCTCCATGTGCATTACACAAGAGTCTTTCTGAGTCTCTCAGCGCCTGGTTCTACCTCAGCACAAACCATCCGAAGTGAGGCAGTTGTTAGCTGTGGTTAGGAGCTCCCTCTACTGCTCCGGTGACCTTGGTGGGTAGGGGAGTAGGTGGGAAGGAGCAGGAGGAAGGGGCCTGGAGAGGAATCAAGATTCGGCCTTCTCCTTCTTTTTGCTCTTTTTCAGGAAGGAGGGGGTCCGGAATTTCTTCTTCTTCTTGGAGGGAGATTTGGATGGCGAGCCTTCTGGGGACACAGGGCCACTGGTGATCGACTCTGTTTTGTCCTTAGGGGCGTCTGTGTCAGCATCTGCATTAGTGGTCATCTGGCTTATTCCTTTGCTTAGGATTTCTTCTGCAGTTTGGTCATCATCTTTTCCGTTCACCACCACCGCATCCTGCTGTTCCTTTTGGACAACAGCGGTGGTATCATCGGGTGGCTGGCTGGAGTCGGCCTTTTTCTCGCCTTCACACAAAGGAAAAAGAAAGACACAAGGCGTGAGGATTTATGGAGGCAGAGTCACAGCTTGCATTAGGTGGGCTGCTGCTACAGGGCCACTGTTTGCCTTAGGGGGGCAAAATATGTAGGAAGTGGTCTTAGAGGCTGCAAGCAGGTTAGAAGCAGACATTTTCTGCCCTGCCCTCTGCATTTATTAAACCATCAACCCACCAGTGAGGACAGTCCAGGTTGATACTGGTTTGAATGGAGGCAGAATTTGGCTCAGGGCATAAAGGAGCATCATAAAACCTGATTTCCCCTTCACTTACACCAGAGCAATTCCCCTGGGCCTGGTTACTCCGTGCTTCATGACATGTGCAGTTTTACATCTGTGCAAAGCAAGTGTGACATGAGTGTGCACAGGTGTAAAAAGGTGCTAAGATGGAGAATTAGGTCCATTGTTTTTCAGTGAACTATGGCTGGCACCAGCAAGGAAGAACAAAGCAGCTCATGAAATTCACAGTCTGGACCTTATCCTCCTTCCAATAAGCCCTGTGGGGCTTTATTTTGACAACTGGGTCTTGCTAGTGGCTTGCCTGTACTAAGGTTTCTCTCCTGATATAGCTGGGCTGGTAGATCTTCCCAGTGGAGTGGCAACGCGGGCCAATAGGTGTTTTCCTACCAGCACAGCTCCACTCTCTTCCCAAATGACAGAGCTAAGCTGATCAAAGTGTCCTTGCTCAGCCTGGCTGCATCTGCACCAGCTACAGGGTGCAATGGCTACGGGGGGGGGAGTTTTGCACATCCTCCAGGAAATGTCCCTAGGCTGGCAAATGCTGTAGTGTAGACCTTGCTTAGCTCTTGCTCTGAAAGTGGAACTAGGGCCCTGATGGCTTGGGACAATGTCCCTGGGAAGGACACTCTCACCCACCCACATGCCTGAAATGATTCCTTTTCTCCTAGAGTGGAGAGAAAAAAGCTTGTGTGTCAGGGTCCCTCAGTGGTTTCATTTCTATGATCAAATCTCAGTCGAGCTGGAAGACTCTATCTGTAGACAATAACAATAATCTCACAACACCTACCAGGCTAAGGCTGCAAATTCCACCGCTGGAATCCAGAGGAGGAGAGCTTATTGCTAACCTAACGCAGTATCTACTGGATGCAGATTAACTAAGGACCCTGAAAGCACTCTGGCTGGTGAACATAGGTATGTGGGTTTCCTATTTTCTCTCACACCCAGTCTTTCCTTCCAATATCACAGATACAAGAAGAGTGACTTCCAAAGGGCTCCTACCAAAACAAACATTAGCAACCTTGATTCCCTTCAGGCACTAAGTGTGAGCAAAAGTCTCTCGGGAAAATATAGTTAAACAATAGCCAGCTTGTCTCTTTTTCTCCTCCTCTTCTCTCTAGTTTGTATTTTTCTCCTTGGATTTGTTTATCACATTTACCAAAACCTTTACCATTCACGCGCCTTTACCCTCTCTGGTTTTGCCGGAGGCTAAACCCCACAAATCAGATTTATCAATACAGTATCTTACTCTGGGTCAGTAAAACATTTCATACCATCTGAACTTGCAGCTTGACCCATCATTGCTTTTTTTCCAGCCTGATACTGAACTTCTCTCACACAGAAGAGTTGTCCTGACTCTAACGGGACTGTCCTTAGGAGCAAGTGCTGCTCTGTGGGAGGACAGGTTGCAGAATCTGATCCCCAGGAGAAAATACAGTGTAAAAGATATTGCCATTTCACCTACCCCAGGAGATGCTCAGAGCTATGAAGAAGCCAAACCACTGACTTAGACTCTCAGGTTATTGTTTAAAAACCACCAGAGCCACCAGTGGCTGATTAGATTGGGCCTTGCTCTATTTACATGTAGCATTTAGTTCACTTTGGTATTACAGTACTGGGACCTGTTACCACTCCTGACCATTTGGGGATGAAGCTATCTCTACAGGTTTAGTATTTTAAAGAACACTCCATACTGAAGACTTCCACCTGCAGTTTGGAATGCGTACATTGGAAAACACAATTAAGAGGGGTTACAAAACTATGCCTGTCAAAGCAGCAGCACCCACTGTATGCACATTACACCTTGGTTTGCAAAGAACGCTAAGGAAACATGACCTGAAACATCAGCTTCACTGATTTCAATAGAGCTACAATAATTTATTTCAGCCAAGACTGGTCCTAAAGTTTAGGATGTGAGCAGTTTCTAGTTCACTCTCCCCTCTTTTGATTTCCCATTTCTGACTCTGCAGGATGGTGTTGTATGGACAATGGAAAGCAATGGGAAAAGACAGAGGAGGTGCAAAAAAAAAGCTGTTGATGGCAAGTCTGAGCAGCTTAGCTGGCTAGTTTTGATGCTGGCCATTCGAGCTCATAAAATACTTCAAATGGTGGCTGTTGGTGTTTGGAAAGTGTGGCAGGGAGACAAGGCAAAGGTCAGCTCTCAGATCAGCCCAATACACATCAGCTCCCAACAGTATTCCCCCACCAGCCACAGCTCCCCCTCTGAGCATGGTAGAAGTTCAGTGACTAGGGAGCAAAGAAAACTGTCAAGAACTCCTGGATAGATCCAGAAGCACAATTTTGCCTGCGGGTAGGAAATTACTTCGACGAAGACCTGAAGCTACAGCTCATTCCTGTTTACAGCATTCAGAACTAGTACAGGATGGAAACAAAAAAAAAGAGAGAAATAAGAGGTAAAAATGAGGCAGAAAAATGAGAGAGAGAGAGAGAGAGAGAGAATCCCCAAAATCTCAAGCAGGAAATATTGGAAAAACCCTCCCAAAACAGTCCATAAAAAAAATCAGGAGAGAAATGTTAGGAAAAAATGTCCACCTGAACTTGTTGATAGGTATCAGCACTTTAGCAAAGATCTAAATCCCAAGTCTGGATGGTCAAATCAGTATGCAGGCAGTGTAGCTGTGATCTTCCAAGTACTAGTGTTTACACTAGATGCTACAACAATCGTTCCTATAGAAACACAATAGATATGAGCCTAAGGTCTGAACGTCTAAACAGAAAACGTGCGGGCTCTAGTAAGCTGCCCACATTTGAAGACTGGGCCCTATTGATTTCCAGTTAAAAACTGGCCACACCGAACAAATGGGAACCTGGAATAACTGATCACAACACTGCTGTTCCATGGAGTTGCTTCCCAGCTGTTTTCCCCAGTCACCCTCTTTCCTGTGAGAAGTACCCCACCTCCCACAAGGTGATGGTATGCGAGTGTAGAAAACAGCCTCTCTATACTTACTACAGTGACAAGTATTCAGAATCAGAGGTAAGTCCTTTGATGAAAGCAACACATGGAGGAAAGAGAAAGGAAGAGATTGTGGAGACAGACAAACACCAACACAGTGAGACACATGCGACACAGTGAGAACACCAAGAACTACACCGCTTTATGGGCTGCTGCTGCCCATGGTTGTTTTGTTGTGGGGTTGGGTTTTTTTGCCTACAACACCGTCAGATGCATTCATTGTTTCCAGTGCTCTCGGGCGTGCAGTCTTACAAGCATGCTGATAACAAACACTGACAGCTCTACCCCCAGGATGGCACAGACATTCACAAAGGTGACTTGATTTGATTTGTGCTATCCAGAGCCATCTGCTTGGTGGCCAGCATGGAGGGAATTTGGTGGTTTCTGTCCCTTTCCCAGGGAGGGGGGAACAGCACCAAGTTCACTGAGCACTAAATGTCCTCCTCACTGTCGAACACATCTCAGTGGCCAGGGAAATTACATAGGTCCATGTAGACTGAGTTGTCAGGTCAAGGTGGAGGCACCCAGGTAAGATGACATAAGAAAGCTTGTACTGCCTCTGCCTAGGTTGATTGACTTACATGAATGCAGAAATCTGGCTTGGAGAGCTACTTGAAATCTTCACCGTCACAAGAATGCAAAGGTCTCATTTTTAGAGGGCTACCATTTTGAGAAGGATGGTATATGGAGACCATTTGGATCGAGACCACCTTAGACTCCACCCAGTCTCTTTCTGCATCAGTTCTCCCCTTTCAAATGAGAGCAACACCTCCTCTTGAGTGATTTGTCAGGACCAAGGCGGCTCAGAATTTACAGCGATAATAAGCCAGCCACCTTCTAGCAATGTAACACAGAACCTCTCTTGTCTTTCCACTGGTGGAAGGTGCCCGCTTTAAACCTACAGCATGCCCATGCCTTGCTACAGAGTTTGGAAGGTGTCAGCTTTCTCTGTGGATTCGTGCCTCGTGTATACTTTGGGCACACCCACCCATTGCAGCATCTGTCCTAGGCTGCAGGCACAAGTGCTCCAAGTGTCTTCATGCAGCAGAAAGGTGATAACAGGACCTGGCATACAGGCCCAGCTTACCATCTGAAGACTTTGTGGGGGATAGGGGTGGGCTCTTGATTGGAGACTTTGTGGGGCTTTGCACTGGGGAAGCTGATGGAGACTTTCCAGGAGAAGCCAGAGATTCCTCCACGCTGGTGTCTTTCTCACCTGGGTAAACAGAAGACATTTATGTGCTGTGGGAAAACAGGATCCCAGCCAACTTTACCTGCCTGCTTAGCTGATGAGTAGGGCTGGTTGGAATGGGGTCTGCAAAGGGACATTTCAAAGTGGAAACATTTTGCAGACATAGCTGAGTTCTGTCAAAAAGAGGCATTGGGCTTTTGTGAGAGAAAGAGACACTCCATATACCAGTGACTGAGGTAATGAGTCAAGATGGAGATGGAAAAACTTTGCTCTACATCAGGCAGAATAGGGATCTGAACCTAGGTTCCCACTCACTTTCTAGTCAAAAGCAGGCATTTTTGCATAATTTCATTCTCAGAGAAACATCCCAAAACTTTTTGTCTCATTCTGGTGAGGGAACAAAACCACACATCACCACCTTAAAAGCTGCCAAAAAACAGAGCCTTTTGTTTCGCTCTGCTTCTGAGTCACGTATTTATACCTACTCGCAATACTGAAGAAACCACTGCTGTTCCTCCCCACAGGAGATTTACCGTCTAGTCCCAGTTCCTTTCTTTCCACTTCTTTCTTGTATTCCTCTAGCTCCTGGTCTGTTAGCTGGCTGAATGGGTTGGGGGGTTCTGGCTCAGCAGGTATCTCCTCCTGGAGTCCATCCTTTGTCTCCATGTCTGCTTTGGAAGCCAGCTGACTCTCTGTAGACTGAAACCAACCACAACATTGTACTGTCTGCATCCTAGGGCTGTTCTTAAAGGCCAATTAACTATCCTAAGCACCTTCTTGTGTCACTAGCAAGGTTCAATTTTCCTCGAGTCAAGCACTCTGTTCAAGCACGTGCCTCCTGAGGCCAACACAACCCTCTCTTCAGGTCCCAATAGGAAACTGTTCTTGGACAATTCCACCTTGCATAAAAGCAGAAGAAATTCTGGGAGACTGGTGAGGACATAACTCCTCTGGGGTATGAAACTTAGCTCCATGTGGCAGAAGTACCCCATGAGGCTGCTGCAGGGGGAGGCAAGCTACCAGATTCATCAATGTGTATCTCCACTTGACATTGCCCTCCATGGAGTCACAGCTTGGACGGGCACTTACATTCTCACCAGCACTTCATCAACCCTGAGCCCCCTGCTGTGCCTCTGCCCTGGTTCCCAGAATTACTCTCCTAGTGCCCCTAAGTTGTTGCCTTCCACTGTGCCTGCAGCTGGTGTCTGAGACTGACCCTTATAACTAGAGAAAAGGGTCTGAGACTCAGATTACAGGTCCCTTGAACTTGGTGCAGTAGCAGAAGTTGTGTTTTGGATTTGAAATCAGATCTGAGCCGATTTGCTTGTAGCGTGCACAGGGCTGCTGACTTGGTTGAAGGGAAAGGAAGAGGTTTGCTCCCAAACAGTCCACCCCTATAATTATGAAAAATGATATAGGATATGATAAATATGCCATATTGTTAATGTAAGTACCGGACTTCTGCTCTTCTCTGCTATCACGCTGGCTAGCAGCTGAGACTGGGGTCCTGCTGATTTCACATCCTGGCGGTTCTGTTCTCGAATCTGTAGGCAATAGATAAATACACAAGTCAAAGCTGTTGTGTACCAGAAGGACTAAATGACTTAAGGAAGTAGCAAAAAACAGAGCATGGCTTGATTCTCCACTGTTTTGCTGTCATTTGTATCAGGGATAGGAACAAGTGACATAGCACCAGTTAAAATGGTAGTACCATGCACTGATGATGACACACAAAGTGTGGAAGTGGATGTTCAGTCCCTGGATTCTCTCTTCTGCGTTGTTCACCTGAATCCAGGTTAGTTCAGTAGTCCCTTAATGCTCTTACCATCTGGTGACTGTTCCATTGGTCAGTAGGGCATGAACCAGCATGTTTCTGTCTAGCACTTAGTGCAGTGACTCTCAACCAGGGCGTCGTGCCACCCCGGGGTTCCTTGAGATTCTTTCAAGGGTGCCACACAATGTTAGCACTGTAAGGTGTACAAATGTGATTCACAAGATAAACCCAGAGATTTCAAATAGGAACCCATTGTGTTAAAACTCTTCTGACCTGCTGTGCTCCTTCTGAGGTCTTTGCAACAAAGGAATTGCTTTATTATTTTTTCTGTAGTCAAAAAACAAATGAAAGTGAAGGGCTGGCATTTTCTGAGGGTGCCTTGAGTCTATCAAGGGGTGCCTTGAGTCCGTTAAGGTTGAGAACTACTGAGCTGGTGGCTAGCTAAGCTGGGCATCACATTGGCAGTCTGGAACCTGTGCTGGCTGCTTCTGAACTGAATGGATTACAGGAAGATAGGTCATTCAGGCTGTGACTGGGTGCTATCTACAAGGTGGTATCTACAAGGTGATGTTAGGGAAGGGATATGTCTTGCACAACTGCTTCCCACACTAACTGCTCTGGAAGTACGTGAACAACTTGGATTTCCAGAGATGCCAGTCTGGACCCCTTCATGAGCACTATCTTTCCAGATGAAACATTTAAGAGAAATAAGACAAAATTGTCTCATCTGTTGCTTCCAGATGTTTCATTGCAATGGAATCTCAAAGGACTCTGCTGTATTTCAGTCAGCCCATGAGACCTTAATTCATAGGAGGTCATCCGGATGTGGGGATGAAGCCATACCTTGTTTCTCATTTCCAGCACTTCCTGTGGATCGGTATAGAGAGGCACAAATTGGTTGGGGTTTTCAATTCGGATGGGGGTCCCACTGCTGCCTTTCTCCACCTCGTCAGCCTTCATCCACTGGCGGACAAAAAGAACAGGAAATGTCAGGGAAAGGGAAGAGAAAATGCATCAAAATGAGACCCACAATGCCATGAAGACTGGGGAAAAATATGACCCTTCATTTCTGACCCAAAGCAGACTTTTGGACACTCTAACGTTAAAAGGCATTCCCATCTGGGCTCTTTACAGCTTTTCTGTTTCAAATAAAACTTAAATGCTTCCCTTCAAAAATGTCAGGACAAAGACATTTTTTTTTCATTATTTGCTTCTTCCCGCACTCCCTGCTCCAACACATCCGAAAAGACTTGGTAAAATGGACAGAAATTTGTGAAGTGTGTCAGATGACCCAAATCAGCAATTCTTAGTGGAGGAAAAACACCCTTCAACTGTAAAATTTCACACTGTTCAGAGCTCCTGTACCGTGGTTTTGCTCCTCTGGGTGCCCACATTTCCCTGGTTCTCATCAGCAACATTGACTCGAAGATAAGTGTTGGGCGTGTTTAGCCAGCGGGTCTTCTCCTTCTGTTGTTTCTGAGCGTGCTGTCGGAGGGTGGAGATGGGAGCAGCCTCCTCATCAAAGATGAATGCTGTGACAGTGGCAGGGATTAGCACGTCACTTTTATGTTTGGCTTTCTCCTGGACAAATGGGTAACGATACGTGTAGCCTGTTCTATAACCCTAGAAGGACATACATACACAGAATGTGTGTTTTAGTTGCGAACACTAGCTGTTGGGGCTGGTTGAAACATAGGGGAAAAGTCTAGAGAACAGTGTTACAGGATGTAAAACAGCTCTACTGTTTTGGCTGTGTGAAAATTTTGGGGGCATATTTTTAATTGCAATGTTTGCAAACATCTTTTGTTTTTCCAAATTCAGACGCTCTGTAAATGATTTACCATAATCTGTCTGCCCCCTACTCCCTGCACAATAATAAAAAACAATGAAAAATGCTCATACCAGTTCTGACCAGCTATGTTAGCTATCTGTCTGTCTGCAGACAAACCTACACTGGAGACAAGGTCTGTTCTCCAACCATGAGAGTTTGCAGCATGTCTTGCTTCTGGCTGGCTCCCCCATAGATTACTAGCTCACAGGGAAGCAAAGCAGAGTGCTCTTTGATGCGAGAAATGCCAAGGGTTCAGCTGCTGTGACTACTGTGTCAGAGACAGTCTTAATAGACAAGCGGTGTGTTTGTTCTGTGGAGTTCTGGGGAAGAGACGGTCAGACAGTCTGATTCTTTGGGTGTGAGTAAGGGATGGCTCCACTGATGAGAGTGGTGTTTATGAACTTTAAAAGTTGGGGTTGGAGAATAATCAGGCTCAGCACTAGACCTGTAACTTCCAGAGTCCCCGAAACAAGGAACAGAATAGCATTGTCCTGCACCGATAATGTGGCAGATTTGGTAAATGATAATATATATATATGTGTCCAGTAAACACAGACCACAAACCTCATGTGAACTACAGCTGCCTCAAACCCAGAACAGCAGGGCCTCCTATTCACTGCCCTTCTTTGCTATAAGTCCTCATAGAGCACCCAGATTTCAAAGACCAATAATGTGGTTTTGCTGCTGCACAGTCCTATTGCTGCAGTGCTGAGTCATTCATTTTGCCCTGGCACAATCAGTGCATACAGAGACATATGCTGCACATGCCAGCTCAGTGCATGGCAGGGAATAGTGACTGGGAGAGCAGTGGATCTGATGGGAAAAGATTTTCCTTATTCCTCTAGGTGTAATGCAGATCTTGGCTCACAAACAGGCCTTAGGGTTTGGATTGGGGGCCTCAATGTCCCATATTTCATGGACTTTGAAGTCCAGATTCTTGGTCTGGGGGCTTGGTCCGAAGGAAAGTATTTGGATAGTCCATTTCCTGTAACCGGAAATGCTAATGGCTTCATTAGCCTGCATTCCAACTAATGTTAGGGCAACTCCACTTTCTATCTGGAGATCATATATCTGACGTGTAGAGTTGCAAAGTACTTTATGCCTCTGACAATACAAACATCCTTTCTAGAGTATATATTTAATGGAGGAGTGAAACATTAATATTTATATATTTTACAGGCATAGAGCAAACAAAGCTAGGGTGGGATATTATTTAGTGGTTTTCTGTTTTATGTTGCTATTCTAGTTGCCTTTTTAAAGTTGTTTTCTTCTAATGTTTGCTCCCCTATTATTTACCATAAGCCACACTGAGTTCCCCTCCCCCCCCCCACAAATAAATAAACACATAAATAAATAAACACACATTTAGCTTTGCATGGCAACATCACAGGCCTGTTTAGTACAAGAAGATGGGAAGAGTGCAGCGTCTTATGGATACTGAAATCAGAGAGACTTGTAGCAAGTGAAGGGACACTATAGCGACAACTGGGAAGTCCAAGTGGTCATACCAGGTTGTCTAGCATTCTCATAAGAGCTTCAAACTCGTGCTCTCCAAGGCGGCTCTTCTGCATGGGTCCAAACATGCTCCCAGCCCATCGGACTGACCCAACATCGTGGGGTCTGTACTTCTCCCGCTCCAGCACAATCAGATTCTCAGTTCCTCCAGCACTAGACAAGGCTGAGACCTGAAACAGAGCACAGAGAACCCACTGACGTAGGAGGAATCACAGAAGCAGTCAGGAAAACAGGGATAAAGCCAGGTTCTCTGCTGGTTTCCATCCCTTTTGGGCTTCTCAGGTAGCAGAGTGGAAAGACCGCTGGCTAGAGTTGGCTAGATGTGAATTCTCCATGTAGAAGGGAACTGAAATCAAGCCATTAGAGCTGAGCGTAACCCACCATCCCAATCCATCTCCCACTAGGGTGGGATCCTGGGCACACTGGAGCACTGAAAAGACTCCCTTGCCATTGAAGCTCAAATTGTGCAGTCACACATACTGCTCACGTGCAGTGGAATTGGGCCCAATTTATTTACTGAAAAATCCTTTCCCCACCTCAGCTTCAGTGTGTCCCTTGAGTTGCCCTAGTTTGAAAGGCCCAGGGAAGTATAAATCAACACAGAACAGCCCTAGAATCCCCCAAAGGCACTCCCTGCCTGCCAACCAGCCAGGCAGCGCAAATGCCCATTTTGAAACAAAAGCCAAGAACCCACCAGAATCATCATGAATGCAAATACGGGAGCAGCAGCTACTGCCCTGGGGAGTCAGTGACTGAGGAGCCAGGAGTGAAGTAAGAAGCAGGACTCCCAGTGACAGCAGCAATATTCCTCTGTCAACATGGTTGCATGTGGCAATCTAGAAGGCTGCAAAGTGCACGCCCTGGATTCCTAGCCCGGCACCTGCCGATGGCTCCCAGGCTCAGCCTCAGTAATGCGCTGACCTCATTTTTCCAACTGAGGAACTAGGTCGATGCACAGAGGGGAGGACAAGTGCATTGATAACGAATGGCCATGATTGCAACCTGGCTGCAGAACAAACACAATCAAACCTGCCGCCTTCCTACAGGGCACCGGCCCTGCTCTGCTTGAGAAGAGACAAGCAGGACAATGTAATTACTGGGTTGTACTTTCCAGCTTTGCTGACAAGATTTGGGGTGGTGGAGAACACACAAAGGAAATACACAACTGCTGTAGGTGGGTCTTGGTTTCAGACTTGATTGTAGCTCCATGCAGGGAGCCAGGACAGAGATTTGAGTAGCGATGCTGATAAAGATTTCAGCAGCTGGTGGAATCACTTCTTAATCTGAGCTATACATTGCAATGGATGTATTGCCTTTGTCAAATTTTGGATTCTTAGTATATACGTACATACTTTATATATATATATATATATATATATTTTTTTTTTTTTACTGTAGTAAGTGCAGCTCTTATATAGCAAGGAGCAGCCAAACCAAGCACTGGAGACTGTGGCATTATCACAAACAACCTGAGGCCACCTCTTCCATGCACAGAACACCCACTTTGCTGGAACCACTCAGCTTTCTCAGCTAGACGTTTCCAAAGACCCTGTTCATCCCACGGGGTGCATATGAAGCTAAACAATCGTTTACTCCCTTTGCCGAGCATCCCACTACATCCTGCCTACTCTACATCTGTTTTTCCTGAATTAAAAAAGGTTCTCTGTATGTGTATGTATGCATGTGATTGCATGGAGGCTATTTCTAGTGGTAAGCTAAGTAAGAGCTGCAGCTTGCAAGCTGTAAGCATATTTCATTATTCATATCTGGGCTCATGTTAATTTTACAAGGGAGGACAATTTTCTAGATCTGCTTTTGTATATGCACAGTTAGTGTTTGTTAACGTTTGGCCAAAGCCCCCAGTTACAGAAAAGCCACTTAATCTGAGCTAGACGCTGAAATGGATGTATTGCCTTTATCAAATTTTGGGTTCTTAATAAAAAAAAAAAACCCCAACAAAATTACTGTCTTAAGTACAGTTCTTGTATAGCAAGGAGCAGCCAAACCAAAATGCCTTTTGGGTTGGGTCTGGGCTGGGCTGGGCTGTGCCACATTATTTTTAGTTTGTATTTGCATTGTACACAGCAGGGGAGTGCTCCTGCAACTAGCACACAGAACATGTCACAGCTCTGTCATGCTGAACAGTATATTCAGCTTTAGGAGCACTAACTCCATTCACTGCACTGAAATTACTCCTGAGTTAATCCATTGCATGCAAGATCCCAAGCAGACCCCACTGCCTTTTATTCATCATTACAGCTCCATGCACTTTACGGGATTGCACGTAGGTAACGAACAGTTGTAGCAAGCCATGCAGGAATTGGCTGCTTTTGTGCCCCTACATCAGTGCTTGCTGAACGAGGGAGGTTTAGATGTGGGGGTTCATCAGAAATACACTATCTTGAACAATATCTGTTCTCAGTAATGCCAGAAATTGTGTTGATGTCAATGGGAACAAGTTACCCCAGTGCCAAGCAATTCTGGAAGTCTCATTCAAAACCACAGCTGATATCAGAGGAGAGGCCAGCTTCCAGCTACTGAGCAAACCACTGGCAGTAGTTTAAAGGCTTAGCTGGAGTTCTCTGAAAACCAAAAAGCTCCAAAAAATCAGTTGTTTTTCCTCTTGAAACTGTTCCAGAGTTGGACCGTTAGAGGGCGATAGATGAATGACAGAGTCAAGGAAGGCTGAGCTTTCATCCTCTGCAACACACCAGTGGGTGGATGTATGTTTCTACTGTGTTACTGCAGCATGAGCAGACACACCCGAGCTCGATCGATGTGAACTACACAGCGTGGGTACCATTCACAGCAAAGAGGCAGCACTTAAGCAACCCAAGGATTCCCGGGGGTCTCTTAGAGCCCAGGCTGAAGTCTGTGCCACTGCTGTTGTTAGCGGTGCCAGCTAGATTCAGGCAAGATTACATCATAGTTGTGACTGCAGCGTAGACATACCCACGCTCTGTACCAGCCTGCAAACCTTGATCTGCCCCACAGGGGGGAAATCTCCCAAGTGTCAAGTGTAAAGCAAGCTGTTGCCATCATGCTGCCAACCATACACAGAAAGCACTGGACTATTCCAGCTTCATGTTTAGAAATGTTGCAGTGATCCTGTTGCAAGATCTAATATCTGGTATGGCTACTTTAGAAAGCTGTAGCTTATACAGTAATATGTATACAGGGGAGTCAGAGGTTCATTTAAAGAAAAAACTTCCCTGACAGACACAATGCAGGCCTGTCGCTACACATTACCACTACCTATCAAACTGCTGTCAGGATTAGAAGGGAGAACAAACTTTGTTGGCATGTTTAACTTGTTGGAGGTACTCTGGTACTACAGTGGTCCAGGCCACATTCACATACCAGTAGACATATTGGGAGTAGACCAGTGAGATGTTTATGGCAGGCAGTGTCTGGGAGCCCAATAACTGCATGGTGAAATGAGAAGCAATTTGGGAAACGTGCATTCGCCTCCCTAGGTGTTGTCCAAAGGATTGCCCTGTTGGAGAGTCTCACCTGTATCTCACAAGCTGCCTGCATGTGAAAGATTTTATAAAATGCTTCTTCCACGGTATCTCCCAAAGCAATTACTCCATGATTTCGCAGCACCAGGATCTGCAAAAAGAGAAAAGGCCAGCTGAAAAAATGGTCATCACCAACAAATGTATGTCTGTATGAGGGAGAAGAACCAGTCCAGGGAGAAGTCTAAACCTCTCTACCACTTCCTGGATGATGATGAGTTCAGATACCTCATCTGGCTTATTGGCTGTGTTACTCTCAGCTTCTGCATGTGGTACCCAGCCCTCTGCAGTATCGGAGGTGTCATAAAAGCTTTGCAAATGCTAATGCATTAAGCAACAGGTATATCCGCATGATCTGCTATGCACTAGGTGCATCTACACATGCTAGGAATGTGACAAAATAAACTCCAGCGCAGTTTGCACCAGAATTAGCTGCTCCCGGGCTCAGCATCTGCATGCGTGCCTGGAACCACAGCACTTTGAGCTGGAGCAGACCAGCCACAGGCTGGTGGAAGGCCTGGGGGGTCAGCACTGGGCTCCCAGGTTGTGATGTTGGTTGGGGAACGAGGGTGCTAAAGTGCAGGGCTAGCCAAGAGGCAGCACCCTCATGCCCCAGCCAGCCCATTTCTATCTACACAGGTGTTTCGACAGAACAAATTACTCTGCTGCAGGATAGTACTGTCCCCAGCAGTACTATCTGAGGACAGTACTATCCTACAATGGAGTTAATTAATTTACTCTGCCATAATACTGGCGCACATGTAGACTATGACGCTTTCCTGCGGAGCTAATTAGTCAACTCCACAGTAAAACATATGTGTTGATGCACCCACAGATGAGGGAACTGAGAAAGCAAAGCAACTGTGTGGGCCAAGTTTGACAGAACTAAAACCCAGTGCCCTAACTCACATTTGGAACCACAACTTCAGGCCAGGTCAGCATGGGAACCTCAGTCCTGAACTGGTCTCAAGCCAGAACCTGCACACCAACCCAGATCTGATCTGAATGCTTCTTCCGCCCACCCCCAGTGAAACATTCCCACAGCTAGGCCCTTAACAGCTAAGCCAAATAATTATAGATCCATCTTATTATCTGAGGACTGTAGTTTCTCTTAACCTTGCAGGTTGGTCCAAGGCACTTCTGTAGCTCAATCCTGTCTGCCTCTTCCTCCATCTCACCATTGAAATCAAAATACACCATATCGCCCACCAGCAATGCATCATGAGATATAGGCAGAACACCACATTTCATGGCAGACACCTGGGGAACAGAGAGAAAACAAGCAGGAAGCCAGTGAGAAGAATCAGCATCTTGGTCCCCTTGTGCAGGCACTAACATGCCTGTACAATTCATTTTTAGCTTCCAGGCCACTGTGCAGTGGGAGAAAGGACCAACAGTAGCACTTTTATGGATCTGGTCTTGAGAGCTCTTGTCTGTGAACAAAGTAGGATCTGTATTGCTGGATACTTCCTAGGATTAGATCCTCAGAACATCAGTTGATCAGACCATGGGTACATGAAACTGTGAAGAATGAGTGGGTCTGTCACTAAAAAAATCAGTTTGGAGCAAGCGCATCCATCCTTAGCACCAGCAGTAAGGGACCCCTGAAAAATGATGATTTTGTACTAATTGCATTTTTGCCTTTCGTCACTTATTATTCCACCTCCCACCATTTCTATGACCCTTAAAGGTTTTGCATCATTGCAGAGGCAGAATGCTTTTGACTAAATATCATCAAATTGGATGGTAAAATTATTTCTTCAGTAACAGAATGGGAAAGTATCATCAAAGTGTTATGACAGGCTAATAGGGCCCTTCACCTCCACAATGACTGTGAAATGGGGGTTACCCCAGGAACCTTGACACCTTTGTCCCTTCTCTTCCTCTTGGCTTCATAGCCCAGCTCTATCAAATGTGAGGGTGTGTCAACAGCATTGCTTGCCCATGAAAGCAGGCAGCAGGCAGTTCTCCCACAAGGCAGAAGCTGCTCTATAAATCAGTCGCAGAGCTGGTAAACATGGCTCTGGGTGGGATGCACTCTCCTATTTTCCACTACCCTGACAAACTGTGGCCGTCAGTATGATGGATGGGATTCCTTACTGCAGCGGTGGCAGGCGTGTGCAAGTGGATAATGCATCTCACGTCGGGTCTGGCCGCATAAATGGCTGAGTGCAAGCTGAATCCTCGTGTGTCCACTGCAAAATTGGTGCTGCCCTGCTCCACCACTTCACCCAGGATGTTTACTTTAACCTATGGTGAGGAAAGGAAGTGGGACAGCATGAAAGCACAGAGCCTGCCTACACAGTGGGTCACCCCCATTTGTTCTTGGGCAGCTCCATCCCATGACCCAGATGGGTCTGCAGTGTGGGAACATGCTTCCCTGAGGCTGCTTCTCCACCTGTCTAGATCACATGCCCTCTGTGGGTCTTCAAACCCTTTGCAAACATTAAACACAGGCTTTACAAAGCAGACCAGTATCATTATCTCCATCTTACCAGTGGGGAAACTATGGCTTGGAGAGGTCTGAGTTCACCTGGTCACCTGGAAACAACCCTGGAAAGAGAACCCAAGTCTTCTGGGACCATGTTCCATGTTTTTAAAGCAAAACTGTATTGGCTACTGTCTCAGCCTGATCCTTTGGACCTTTGGCTGAAACTGGTTGTGCTCTGCAGGCTTTTAGGCTGCAGGTGCATGTGAAACACCCTAGTCCTTGGGGAGCCAGCTCTGGCTCAGTGGGCAGATAAGGCTTACATATACATAAGGGAACTGGTCAGAATATTACGAATTTCCAACCAACAGTTTAAAACTTTGAACAAATGGTGGGATTTTCATGCATCTTCCTTCCTCCCACATACCAGGGATACATATATTTTACAAATTTGAAGCCTTTGTGAATTTGGGAACAAAATTTCCTGCATTCTACCCCTTTTTTTGCCATCTCTGCCCTCAACCTCTTTGAATGCAGTCCCAGAATTATGAGCCTGGTTTGCCTGATGGACAGGAGAGAGAGAGGGGGAAAGGGATGGCAGAGCATGGAGGCATATCTTAGCAGACTCACCAAGCTGGATGCTGTGATTTCATTACAGGAAAGGCCTTTGGGGCTGATCAAGAAATGATCCTGTTCTTTGCTGACGCGCAGCTACCAAAAGAAATGCACTGTTAGGGTTAAGTGGGTAATTTTTAGATTCCCACTCCCACACTGGATCCCATCTCTCAGATTGTAAGAGACATTTCAGGAATCACTTCAAACCTAAAGGAAATGACAGTGTGGAAGGGATTCAGCTGAGCAGGTTGTAATGGGCTACAGAACAATTTGGTTGGACGTACTCAGACTTAGTCTGCACTGATGGTTAGCAAAGTCCCCACTTGTGAATCCATCACTGGTTCCACTAGAGTTAGGAAGGGACCTGTAGTAAGGACTCCACTGTTAGCATCATGCTGGTTAGTTGTGATTTGATTAGGGTTAGATAAAGTATGTTGGCAAACATGCTGGCAGCCAGGCCTAGCCCTGACGGAGCAGCACTGGTGGTAGAGAAATCTTATTGTAGGCACAATCTCTTATGGCAAACTCTTGGGAATTTTTCATGTCAGCAGG